AGGCAGAGACTTGAGTATATAAAAATGAAATAAGTTTATTTACAAAGGAACGGGGGAGTGGACGTGACCTGAAAGCAGAGGGTTGACAGAGATGAGTCTTGAGGCAGTTTGATCCAGGAAATGAYTTATGAAAGTAAAGAGAAGATTTGCTTACTGGTGAGAGCTTCCGATGACACGAGGAGGAGTAGGTCCGATACTTAAGATCCCAAGGTGAGTATTTACAGGTGAGTTTCTTATTTACAGATGAGGGGGAGGCAGTGAGGCAGCGCATGAGAACAGGTGAGCGGCTCAAGGCAAGACAGGCAGGCGAGACCAGGGTCCAGAGACTTTCAACAAAACAGGTACTTAATCCTGGGAAACAGATTATCACAAGGAGATACAAACAAGTAAATACAACTACTGTTGTCAAAACTAGTAGCAGGCTGAGAACATTACCAGAGCAGTATGATGTTTCAGCGACAAGTTGATCCACAGGTCTCCCTTATAAAGCCTGCAGCTGATGAGCCAGGTGAGTTGCAGCTGATGAGCTGCAGGTGCGCCTAATATGGGTTGCCAGGTAGGCAAGGAGGCATTTGGTGTAAAACACCGAAGTGCCTCAGTGCCCTTAAAGATCGCCTCCAGGCGATCTACAACTTCTTTTCAGGATGTTCTTGGTAGAAGGTAGTGATCAGCGATGGATCCAGAATGAAAGATCTCGGGATCCAAGACCTCTCCTCCGGTCCGTAGCCCTCCCAGTCCACCAAGTATTGAAGTCCGCGTCCTCGTCGGCAAACGTCCAGGATCCTCCGAACCGTGTAGATAGGATGGTTGTCGAGAAGGCGGGCAGGGTGTTGGTCGGTGGGCAAAGGGGACTGGTGGAGACAGGCTTAAGCTGGGAAACATGGAAAGTGGGATGGATCTTCATCGTGGCGGGTAAACCGAGTCTGACGGCTGATGGGTTGATGATCTTCTCCACAGAGAATGGGCCAATGAACCTGGGGGACAGTTTTCTCGGAAAATCTTTCAAGTTAATATCACGAGTGGAGAGCCATACCTTCTGCCCTACTTGGCAAGAGGGAGCAGATGAGCGGTGACGATCGGCAAATCGTTTATTTTGTTGGGTGGTCCTCAGTAGTGCCTTCTGAGTCTGCTTCCAGATCTTGTGGCAACGGCGGATGTGGTGTTGCACAGAGGGGACCAGGATTTCGGTGTCTTCACTGGGGAATAAAGGTGGGTTATAGCCAAGAGATATTTCAAACGGGGAGAAACCGGTAGCAGAAGATGTGTGGYAGTTGTGAGAGTACTCAACCCAGGGAAGATATTCACACCAGGAAGAGGGGTTGTTATTGACCTCAGAGTACTCTCCAACTCTTGGTTGCATCGCTCAGACTGACCGTTAGATTGGGATGGTGACCGGAGGTAAGACTAACAGTAGCACCTAGTGCTGAACAGAAAGCCTTCCAGACTTGAGACACGAACTGGGGGCCACGATCCGAAACAATGTCGGAGGGGATACCATGAAGACAAAAGACATGTTTAACAAGTAATTGGGCGGTTTCAAAAGATGGAGGGAGTTTAGGCAGGGGAACAAAGTGGGCAGCTTTAGAGAATCTGTCAATGATAGTGAGTATGACTGTGTTACCTTCGGATGGTGGCAGTCCAGTAACGAAATCCAGAGCAATGTGAGACCAAGGGCGGGCAAGGATGGGTAATGGATGGAGACCGACTGGTTGTTGGTTGTTATTTTTGTTAGTAGCGCAGGTAGTACAGGCGTTGACAAACTCCTTAATGT